GTGGATATTTTTGGTGGCTAGGTTCAAAGTTTCATGGATATATAGGGCCACCTTCTACAACGAGGACTTTCGATCTTTGTGTTTTCCATTTGGTTGTAGTACTATCAAATTTTTCTTTGTTTTATGCGTTGGTAAGGCCAAATCATCGAGGAACTGCATAAGTTTCCCAAACATTTAGCTCTTCAGCGGATAGAATTAGACCGGTTTGATATAAATGCACAATTATATATGAAAAATCAAGAGCATTTGTTATGGTTGAGTGGAGGAAAAGAAGCTGACTTTTCCTTTGCGGCTCGAGCTGTCAATGCTATTTTCAGTCCAAGCCGTCGAATCTGCTTATGCATCTTGAATGTATGGCTACTCAGTTTGGCTCCATGCATTCATTACACAATCACCGTTCACCTCGAAACTAAACAGTTCAATAAATTTTTGGTAATCCATTGCAAGCCAGTAGATAAGACTAGCTGATCTTCATCGATGATGGTAATTCATAATAATTTTAGACATTTTTGTCACTAGATATGGACTGTCAAGGTCAATAGCGTCAGACAACTTGTGCACATGGAATAATAGTCGTAATAAAACTCTTTTAAATGTAGTGTGAGGGATGTGGACCGACCAAAATTTTGGAGTATCAATGTCCATAAATAAAATTACATATTCACTACCATATACTCCGTATGTATTAAATATTGAAGATGCAGGTTGCATTTATCTCCCGGTAACCTATTGCAGTGGCAACTGGGAATTCCTAGGATCCCCGAAAAGAGAAAAACAGTAATGGACTTCTTCCTTTTTTTTTTTTGGTCGAAACAGTAATTGACTTCCAAGAAATACATTTTCAAGAAATTAAAACACTTTCAAGAAACAGAAGAAAAACAAAATAATTGGTTTTTTTCGTCCAACCTAAATTTTAGGAGTCTATTTTATGTGTTTTCAACGGCAGTTATGTGGTTGTTGGGTCAGTGGTAGTCTATTTTGACTTGGTAGTTTGACATTCGTCGACTTCTCTTTTCCATTCGTGAGATGATTAATGTTCTTTAAGCCAAGTGGATTTTGTATAAAAAATAAATGTTTAAAAACACTACTTATCAGAAGCTATATGTAATTCATAGATTTTTTTTAATAAAAGTAGATTTTTCCATGAAACACCACTTTTATGTATTTCGTAAAATACCAAAGTTTCCAAAAATGCTTAAAGAATAAGAAGAGGTTTGAAATCATTTATAGGAAAAAATTTTAAACGTTTAAAATCTTTTTGCGGTATGTTTGGAATTATTTACAAAGTTGTGATATTTGAAAACAAACCTAACAAAATAAACAATGTTATATATAAAAAGAATAAACAAAACTAAGAAAATAAAAAGAATTACTATTTATAAAAATGTAAAGACTGTAAATTGTTATATATAAAAAGTAAACAAACCAAAGCATAGCGTTTTTTAATTTTACTATATCTAATAATCAAGTTTATTAATGTGATATGTTTCATGAAGGAGACGAAAATAATGTGATTCAAGGGGGTGATTGGCGTGAAGACTGTTAAAGCTCTACAAATTTTTAAAATGTTAAAAGTTTTTTTTTAACCAAACATGATTTATTGGCTATAATACTTTTTAAAGTGGCTAAATTAAGTCAAAAAATTTTTTCCCTTCGGTAGTTCCTCCTTTTTTTTGTAAATAAACTCTTTATTCAAAAGAACTGTATGTACTGAGGGATTTCTTTTTGTTTTTTTGTTTTGGTTAAACTCTACTGAGGGATTAGGTGCATCCTTTTCGCCAAAAAAGAAGGAAGAGGATGGGAATTAAAAAATAGGGTTATTTATATGAATAACCTTTTATAACTCAAATTATAAGTTGATAGACCACTTCATGTTTAATTAACACGGATTGCTAAGAGAAACAAAATGTTGACGGTTTTGCGCTTCTGACACAATACAAAAACGTACAGTACAACCCGCCATAAAGTAATATGACCTGACATTTTTTACTTTTTTTTAATCAATTTCTTTTTCATCAATTATTTTTCCCATTTGATATTCACATCTATAATGTTTATTATTAAAATTGAATCATCTCATAATCTTTATGTAAATAAAAATAAGATTTTTTTCTTTATATTTTACAATTTGAAATTTTATAAATGGACAAAATTTACTCAAACTATTAATATAATGTTACAATGAAACATAATATACCATATAACATGTTATTTTATTATATAACATGGTATACCATATAACGTGTAATATTATATTCATCATGTTGTAAAAAATATTCAAAACATATTACTAAGTTTACTGCTATATAACGTAACATAACATATGATATGTATAGTTATAAATTGGCAATGCCATGTTAATAAATGACATGTTATATATTATATAGCATGCTATATTTCAAATAACATGTTATACGTTACAAGAATATGATGTTTATAACAATAATATGGCATACCATGTCAATATATGACATTTTGTATGGTATATAACATGTTATATTTCAAAATAACATGCTACATCATACAAGAATATGATGTTTATAATAATAATATGACATACTATGTTAATATATAATATTTTGTATGATATATAACGTGTTATATCATATAATACCTAGTATATAGCATATTATACTACGTTTTATTTTCACATTATATTAATAGTTTGAGTGGTCACAAACATAATAGAATGTGAACATCAGTATATATGGTATGCCATTTATATGATTACGTTTCATTATAACATTATATGAATAGT